TCAAATTATTTGAATTAACTCATTTATTCCTTAAAAATGAATCTATGAAGTAAATATAATCATGTGCATTTTAAAGATTAATAAATTTTCTTAAATATTTATTCTTATTTATTTGAAAGGAAGAGATACAGAGAAAGAGAGAGAGGGAGGGAGGGAGAGGGATCTTCCATCCTCTGATTCATTCTCCAAATGGCCACAATGGCTAGGAGCTTCTTCAAGAACTCCCACATGGGGAAAAAAAAAAAAAAAAAAAAAAAAAAAAAAAAACACCTAAATGAAAGATCTCCACGAGTGAGATCCCAGTGGAAAGAATGGGTCATGAAAGAATGAGGTACCTTTCTCTGAAGGGAGGAGAGAACTTCCACTTTGACCATGGCCTTGTCTAAATATGATCAGAGTCAGTGAACTCAGGGGGCTTCCTTAGCCTTGGCAGCTCATGACAAGAGCCTAGGGTGATTACTGGGGCCATAAACAAGAGTGTCAATTTGTTAAGTCAACAACAGGAGTCACTGTGCACTTACTCCTCATGTAGGATCTTTGTCCTTAGTGTGCTGTACATTGAGTATTTTTCACTTTATGTTTCTGTGTGGGAGCAAACTGTTGAAATCTTTACTTAATGTATGCTAAACTGATCTTCTGTATATAAAGAGAATCAAAAATGAATCTTGATGTGAATGGAAGGGGGGAGTGAGAGGGAAAGGGGAGGGTTGCAGGTTGGAGGGACATTATGGGGGGGAAGCCATTGTAATCCATATTCTGTACTTTGGAAATTTATATTCATTAAATAAAAGTTAAAACAAACAAACAAACAAACAAACCTAAAAAAAGAAACAAAGAAACAGACAGTATTAACTTTACATAATCATCTTAAGTTTATCTTTTTTGTAGATACAAATTCCAAGTACTAAATAGTATTCTGCTATATGGATATATGTACAACACTTTGTTTATCCATTCACATGTTGGTAGAATTTGTATTATTTCTAGTATTGGATAGGACAAATAAATCTTTGGGAACATGTATGTTCAAAAAAATAAATAAATAAAAGATCTCCCACATGGGCCCAGGGGCCCAGGCACTTGGGCTGTCTTCTGTTTCTTTCCCAGGTGAGTTAACAGGGAGTTGGATCAGAAGCAGAGGAGCAGGAAACCTACTTGGTGCCCATATGGGATGCCAGTATTGCAGGTGGAGGCTTTACCTGCTATGCCACCCTACAAAGGTTAATAAATTAAAGAGAGACAAATAAATTTGGTTTAGATAATTCAGGAATATGTGTTGAAATTAATTCCAAAGTAGACTTTCAGAAATTTTTTACCATGAGAATATGAATTAGCAAAAAGAAATCACAACTAGATTATACATATTGGTGTTAAGAACTAACACATATAAGCTTTAAAATATGCTAATAAAGGGACAAAATTAATATGTTGGAAAATATATGCAAAGTATTATTTCACTGATGTATTAGCAGTAAGTATATTTATACTTGTATATCTGTACCTGTTTCTGTAGAGAGAGCAGTATTGAAGACACTTCAAACATTTCATGGAAAACATAATTTAAAATCAGTTTATCTTGATGCCCAAAATTTAAAAAGCCATGAATTATTTTCATAATATCCATTTTTAATGAATTTTTAAAGACCCCTAGTATGTATAAATTTTAAACATCTTGCACCAAAATGAGCTCATCTTCTTATTTTCTATGATCTCTTTGAAGTATCCTCACATATTAATTCTTAAATATCTATATATAAATGCATAGAAAGGTACTGAAACATATGTTTCACACTATTGAATTTGTTATCTTGTGAAGAGTCTAGGGTAATGTTTGTTGTGACTTTTATTCTACATATTTCTATACCTTTTTCTTATAATAATGATCAATACAAAGCTTATATATGTAAAACAAGTCACATATAATATACAATTTAAAATATTATATTATTACCAAAATCCTGAAGATAAGCCTACATATTTAATCACAATCTGTTATTTTTCATTATAACACTAGATTTGATCTTCAAACTGCTATATTTATTTATATATATATACACATATATATATACACACACACATACATACACACCCTTTACAGATTGGTTGAAGACATAAATTCAGCAAAAATTTATAAAGTAAATAATAAATATCAAAATACCTAAAACAAATGCCATTAAGAGAAAAGGAACGTAAAATCACATACTAAAAGCAATGTATATTCTTTGATTTCAAATAACACTATTCGAAGGAGCTATTATTATAGGATTATGATCCTTTCCTGCCTTGCTAACATCCAGATTTTTCCTCTTTGTCAGCTTTCCTAGAAATATTTATGCAACAAATTATGGGAGAATGTGTTATATACTGTAGTAGATGAAGCTTCTCAATATCGAGACCAAGTTATAACTGACCACATCCACAGGGAATGTAAGCACAAGAGGATATAAGACAACTGACCGCATGCCTTACACAGGCAACATGCAAAACCTTAAGTTATCCCGGAGCTGGTTTCTTCATTCAGGTTCTCCTTAGTCTATGTCTCAGCCTTAGTCTATGGTGATAGCCTAGGAACCCTTTAGAAGTCACTAGGTCTTCACTATGTATCATCAAACATCCTTTGTTTGTGACTCCATTCTCTTAAAGCTAAACTAACTTGATATTTAGTGAGATTATTGATGCCCATGACCAGAAAAACAGAGATGTGGCAAGTATTTAAACTAAACTAATAAAAAGAAAAAGTAATTCAAAATTTGATGATTCGGAAAAAAAAAAATTAAAGACAGAAGAATCTCCTTATGTATTACAATGAACTTTACTTGTGCCCTGTATAAAAAAAAAAAAAAAATACATAGGAACTGTGAAAGAGGGAAGGGGGACTTTATGCAAGACGAATGTGATAGAGGTGAAGGCTATGGCAATAGACCACAGAGACTGAACTGAACGCTGCGGAAGCATGAGTTTTAAATGCTGAGAGAGCTCATGGAAAAGTACCCGAGGAGAGAAAGCGGAAGGTTAGTCGATATGATTAAGTCATCTATATTTGCTAATTGGCTCTTAATTGAGGTTAGGCTGTTACCATCCCAGAGTCCGGAGATAGCGGCTCTATCTTTCTTAATGACTATACTTCAAAGGGATCACATACAGGTCCTGGAGAAAGACAAAAATTCTTGGGCTGCAAAGATGGTTCGCAGGCTGGGAGAAGATTTACATCTTAAAGGGTCGATTCAGTTTCCTCAAATAAATTCTCTTGGGAAAAGGGAGATTAGGTGCCTAGAGCCAGAAAGAAGCCTGTCTAAAAAGTGAGTCAATGAAGAGATTAAGATTGCCTTGGTTCCTGTGACAGCAGAATAAAAAGTCAAAGACTAGGCAATCCCCCCAACCTTTTGTGTTCCAGAAAAGGGCATCCTGCAAAGACCATGCTAACCCATCACTCGTGGGTGCTCCCTTTCTCACCTATGACAAGACCAGACAGACTCCCCAAATCACCATTCTTCACTTCATCCACTGCATGGTGAACTGCACTGTTTTTGTTGATCAATCAGAAAAAAATATGTTGTTAATCAAACTTTAGTGGAGCTTCTCTTCCCTTAAACCCTGAACCTGGCCTGCCCTCAGCCTGAGCCCACACTGCAGACTTTCTTAAAAGGCCCCCTTGAGAACAGGCTGGGCTCTGGTTCGCTCTCCGATCCGCAGCTCCAGTAGGTCATCCGATTATTTCTAATCTTCTCAACATCTCCCTCTAAAATAAAAACCTTTTCTGCCAAAGCCCTGAGACACCTGCAAATATTTCGACACAGAATTAGCGACTATTGCCTATTGTAATAGTCCCTTTCCCTATTTCCAAGGATTCTTATGAATAAATCCCCGCCTTAATAAGTCTGGTTTGGGGGCTTAGCGCCATGGCACTGGCTTAAACCAGTGCCTGTGGAGCCTGCACCCCTCTGGGGCACCAGTTCAGGTCCTAGCTGCTCCATTTCCAATACAGCTAAATGCTCCTGGGACAATGGGCCAGGTCCTTCGGCTCCTGCACCTACATGGGAGATCCGGAAGAAGCCCCTGGCTCCTGGCTTCCAAATGGCCCAATCCAGGCTGATGAGACCATTTTGGGAAGTGAACCAGTGGAAGATCTCTTTCTGTCTCTTTCACTCTCTCTGTAACTCTGCCATTCAAATAAAAAAGTAAATAGGTAAATAAATAAAGTTAAAAAAAAAAAAGTCTGGTTTGGTTCCTTACTTTAACACTGATTATATTTAGAATTCCAATTTCGATATATTTTCCACTTTCTCAATTTTTTTTCATAAATCCTCTTTGCTACTCCACTTGTGCAGATATAGCTGTTGACATTAACGGACTACCCAGGCACACGTGGTCTTTGTTATAATGAGATCACAAGACTTATTTTTTATTAAATTCAGAATGTTTTCCATAAATAACCAACATAAGCGAATGGCATTTAGAAACAGACCTCAATTTGAAACTAAGTACAATTTTTAAATAAAAGAACTGTTGAAACATCATATTTAAAAGAGGATATTTTATATGTATTTGTGATTACAATCAATGAACAGGGTAGGAATTTCTGCATAGCAGGTAAGGCTCCAAAATCCCAAATCAGGGTGCCAGGAATCGGGGTCCTGGCTTCCTCCTGATGTGCATCATGTGAGGCAGCAGGTGGTGGTCCAAACAGATGGGATGCTGCCACCCATGAGGCAGACACAGACTGAGTTCTAGACTTCTGTATTTGCCTGACCCCAGCCTCAGCTCTTCCAAGTATCTGGGGTATGAACAAGCAGATGGGAGATTCTCTCTCTCTCTCTCTCTCTCTCTCTCTCTGCCATTCAAATAAAGAAGTTCAAATATTGAAAACTCAATGAGTATCTGAAAATAGCAAGAAAGAATTTTAGTGTTTTATTACTGAAAATCCAACAAATAACTTACAAATAAATTTTAAAATATATATTTATTTATTTGAAAGGCAAAGTGATGGGGGTGGGATTAGTGAGAGAGAGAGGGAGAAAGGCAGGCGAGGGAGAGAGAGGGGGAGAGAGAGAATCTTCTATTTGCAGGTTCATTTACCAAATACTGGTGCTGAGCCAGGCTGAATCTGAAGCCTGGAACTTCAACGAGGTGGCAGGTGCCCAAATTTTGGGCCATCTTCTGCTGCCTTCGGAGACTCATTAGCTGGAATTCTGGATCAGAAGTGGAGGCAGTGTGGAAAGCAATGGTTCAACCACTCTTATCACAATTCTAGCTCCAACTTCTGACTAAATTTTAAATTGACTTTCCAGTTTTCCTAGTGTTGATAACTCCTCTTGCTCAAACACTAGCCTACAGGGTAAACTTGGTCCTGCTCATTTGGCCAAACAGATCTGAGAGCTAGTATTGACAACAATGCAATTGTTAATACCAAATTCATGTATCTCAATTCTGTGAGCTGCCTGGTACTCTACCATTTTACTTTCCTACTACTTGAAAACAATCCAAGGCTCGTATCTTCTCTCTGTTTCTTGTTCCCTTCTCCAATTCTTGAAAACAAAGATTCTAGCAACATATTGCCAACCACAAAGTGATCTGATCACATGCTTTTCTAACAAGATCATGGTTGTAAAGATGGAAAATGATAGTAAATGACACATGGGCTTCTCTCACAAACACAAGAGGAGATAAAGTGCTCTCCAGGTCCTTTACTATAAGCCTCGAGTATGATTGTCTTTAAGAGCAAGGATGTAATTATGACTCCAGCTGACACAATGAATGTGATTCTGCTTCTTAAGCAAAATGAAAATCCTTTTGTCAGAACCCACGTAGGCCAGCAGTAAACATCAAATTCTCTTCCCTGATGCATTTCAGGAAGAGAAAGAAGAGAAAATAATTAGATGTCCTTGAAAAAGGGGGATGCAGAGAGCAATTTTACTGGTAGATATTAAAGCTCAGCATAATTTTATGCTATTGCCTCAATTACTTATTCAGTAAAACATCATTCTGACAAAATATTTTGAAAAAAATCCTACAAATTATGATAGTAAAGTAGTAGAATAGAGCCTTTATTTAAGTTCTAAGAATAAAGGAAGAGAATTCATCTGTAAAGAAGTAAGAAGATAAAAAATGTTACTGTAAAAGAAATTTTAAAATGGGAGGAAAGTTGTTTTATAATCAAAGGGAGGAAAAGTGAGAAAAAACCGAGGAGTAAAATTTAAGGATAAAAAATGTAAATGAAAACCATCTGCATAATAAAGATGATGGTAAATTTAAAGACAAAAATATTTTAATTATTTGTGTGCAAACATTTTTGAGATGCATACATAGTTTTTTTCCATAGTATGCACTGTCCATGATTTTTTGAAGATTACTCCTGTATGATATGCAAAGGAATAAAGAGATGAACTGTTGAATTCAGATAAAGCTATAGATTCATTGGGAAAATACTTAAAATGGAAGTAAAATATATGCTTATACGATACTAAAAAAACAGCAATAATGCACATTCTAAAAGGGATAACAGGGGCTGGTGCTATGGCATAGTAGATTAAGCCTCCTCCTGTGGGGCTAGCATCCCGTATGGGCACTGGTTTCTGTCCCGGCTGCTGCTCTTCTGATCCAGCTCTCTGCTTATGGCCTGGGAAAGCAGTGGAAGATGGCCAAACTCCTTGGGTCCCTTCACTCATGTGGGAGATCCAGAGTAAGCTCCTGGCTCCTGGATTCCGGTCAGCTCAGCTCCAGCCATTGCAGCCATTTGAAGAGTGAACCAGCAGGGTGGGAGACCTCTCTCTCTGTCTCTCCCTCTCTATCTTTGTAAACTCTGCTTCTCAAATAAATAAATAAATCTTAATTTTAAAAAGTCAGGTTTTTTTTCAGTGCTGTTAGTTGCATATTCTGTTTGATCTGTATCTGTGGCCTTGATTTCTGACACAGGAATGTTTTACCTCTCTTAGTAAGGAATGTTTTATATGTCCATCACTGAGATGCCTTCAAAATGTAACAAACTAAGGATAGGTTATTGTAGCCAGAAATGACTGAATGCTCCTACCTCTTGAAGATAGATGCTACAAGGATATAAATCAAATCATTTTCTTGATCTTTCAGTATGAAGTAAAGCAGTTTGCACCAGTTTCCTCTTTGAAAGGAATGCCATACAGGTACATGTATTTTCACTCACGAGCTAGTATGCATCAGATACTAGAACAAAATATCTTAGAATGGGTAATTTATGAGCAACGGAATTTTATTTCTTATATTTCTGAAGTCTGGGAAATCTAATATCAAGGTGCAGGCAGATTCAGTGTCTGGGGAAGGCTTCCTCTGTTTCAGAGAGGGTACTTGTGGCTGTGTCATCAGGTAGCTGAAGGAGAGAAGAACAAGGGAGGCAAATTCAGTTCCTCAAGCTCTCAACAGTGCAAATACCTTCCATGGAACAGGAGCCCTCATGGCCTCCCCAACTACCAAAGTCCTCATCTCTCACTACCACTTTAGCGTTTAAGTTCCAACAAAGAAATTATGAAAGAATACATATTCAAACCTTACCCTTGGCCTAAGTGTACATGAATATGCAATTGTTTGACAAAATGCCAAACTGTTGAAGCAGTGGTGGGAAGCTTATGTTTAAGATACTTCTGGACTCTTCAATGACAGTGTCAGGCAAGGAGCAAGGTTTGTGCAGGTGGTGGTTAGGCAGAAAAGTAGAATCCCCATAGATAAGATTCCTATAGATAGGATTTAAGCTTGTGCTTCAGAATTAACAAAAGGAAAGATCCAAGAGCCAAAACCAGGACCAGAGAAAAGCTGCTGAAGGAGGAAAGGTGCTTGAAATAGTCAAGAGCCTGGAAGGTGTCAGAGCAAGATGTCCAACCTCAAGGGATATGCGAAGTTCTGACATGAATGCTCTCCTCCATCTGCTTGGCTTGTTAATAGCTCTGAGAGTAGTCTAGAATGAGGTACAGGTTTCGGATTTTAAAATGTAAATATAAAAAATTGTTTGTATTCATTAATTGTGCCTTTATTTCCTCATCTTTTAATCACAAAAAAAAAATCCTACTACTATAGAGTATACATAATCATTGAAGGACTTTTAAAAAGGATCTTTTTATTTAAATGAAAGGGACAAATTTCATGTATTTTATACAAACAGTTCTAAGAGCATGATGATACTTTCCACCCTACTATCCCTCACTCCACTCTCTTTCTTCTTATTTTTCTTTTAATTTTTATAGTGACATACTTTATTTTCCTTACTGTGTACTATACATATCAGGAACTGGGACTACTGTCTGCCAAAAAAACTGGTACACATTTCTACTTCTTTAAATTTGATTTTTCCCTATATGCTTTATAATACATTCCTCAGTGGAGTTAGTCTAGGTCACTATATTTCATCTATAACACCCAGTTCTCAATAAAGCTGTTTCCAAAATAATCAAACCACATCCATTTCATCTTTCTGAAGCAACACAGTTGTGCCAGCATTTTGTTTATATTCTATTTTATCCAGTGGCCCTGAATTTACTCGGGTTAAAATTATTTTGTTAATCCATGTTTACAAGTATAGGTAGATGTCATATCCCCTGACAGACTTTGTTCACTCTACTTCATAAAATTTGAGATATTTTAATCCTTTCTAATTAATCAATCTATTCTCCCTCTTAATCTTTTATATTGCTTTTTTGGCGAGCTCCTGCTTTTCATTTATTTATGTCTTTTCAGGAATGGAATATCTATATGTGAATGATTTCAAACAGGTAAGCTCACAACAAAGATTAAGGCAAATCATTATTTTCATGTTTGTCTAACGACAAAACCTGCACAAATAACAAAATGTTTATCTATATTAGCCAATCTTCAACATTTCACTATATAATCATTACATAGCATAGTCTATCTGCAAAGCATCAACATTTATCTTTTATATATATTTACCTCTTTTTCATCTATTTGCTTAACTTCTTGGAATTTTTTTAAATCCTCCAATACATCCCTCTGAGATCATGTCAGATGCCTATATTCTAAAATAATTATTGCCTCTGAAATTCATGAAGTATTGGTCTCATTCTTGTTAGTATCAATAATATTGTTTATACTACTGTAAAAATTCAAAGTTGTAATAATTGGCAGGAAGTTACACAATGGATGGTAATGATGCTGGATAAATTCCCTTTTTTAAGAAATGGGAGTCCTGGGGCTGGTGCTGTGGCATGGTAGGCAAAGGCTCCGCCTGTGGCATTGGTTTCCCACATGGGTGCGAGTTCGTATCCAAGGTGCTCCTCTTCTGATCCAGCTCTCTGCTTATGGCCTGGAAAAGCAGCAGAAGATGGTCCAAGTGCTTGGGCCCCTGCACCCATGTACGAGACCTGGAAGAAGCTCTTGGCTCCTGGCTTCGGATTGGCTCAGGTCTGGCCATTGGGGCCATTTGAGGAGTGAACCTTCAGACAGAAGACCTCTCTCTGTGTCTCTCCCTCTCTCTGTCTGTAAGTCTCCCTCTCAAATAAATAAATAAAATCTTAAAAAAAAGGGAATCCTTTTATGAATGAAAATTGTCTAAAAAACATCACTTTATAAAAAATAAACCATTTTAAATCAAAAGATGAATTCTGTAATAATGATATGGAGGTTTTAACCCACATTTTTGCATTTTTATGGAATTATATTCATATAATTATTTTAACACATCAGTTCCTAGGTTATGACAAAGGAGAAGGGGCATTAATATCAGAGGGCATTCCAAGGCTCCATTATGATAAGTTGATGTCGATGAATTATCAGTTTGGCAGTTGAGATCAGATCTAGCTCAGACATGCAATTTAATTTTATATTAGAGTCTGGTTATTTGTTAAATTGATAGTTAATAAACACTTATCACCTTGATGATGTGTGAAACAAAATTAAACCTTTGTTTGGAGGAAAAATGTTCGCTTTTGTTAACAAGTCACTCTAGGGGGCCAGCATTGTGGCATAGCAGGTTAAGCCACTGCCTAGATGCTGGCATTCCATATGGGCACCAGTTGGAGTCCCGGCTGTCCTTTCCAATCTAGCCCCCTGCTACTGTGCCTAGTAAAGTAGCGGAGGATGGCCCAAGTGCTTGGGACCCTGCTATACACATGGGAAACTGGGAAAAAGCTACTGGTTCCTGGCTTTGGCCTAGGCCAGCCTTGACTATTGTAGCCATTTTGGGGAGTGAACCTGCAGATGGCAGATGTCCTCTCTCTATCTTTCCCTCTCAAGTCTCTATGTAACTCCACCTTTCAAATAAATTAAAAAAAAAAGCCTATGATTACCACCCAACATTGGAAGAAAAAATTCTAACAGAATGTCAAATAATTTATTTATTTGAGAGACAGAGTTCCACCAACTGTTTCAGTCCCCCAAATGCCCATAACAAGGGCTGGACCAGAACAAACAGGAACCTAGAGCTCAATCTGTGTCTCTTACATGAGTGGCAGGGACCCAGTTACTTGAGTCTCACTGGCTGACTCCCAGGGTATTCATTAGCAGGAAGCTTAGGTCAGAAACAGAGCCAGAACTTGAACCCATGCCCTGTGATTTGCCATGTAGGCATCTCAACTTGTAGTTTAACCACTGTGCCAAATGCTCTCCCTAAAACATTATATATATATATAAAATCTAGAAAAAGTTGGCTCTCAAAATAAGATGGAAATCAAATTAGGGTACTCAGGAAAAATCATAAATACTCTGGAAAATGGTAGAGAGGTTGGGTTAGGTTAGGAGTTAATGAAGAACAAGAGAGATCATCTCCAGGTCAGTTTGTGGTCCTGGCCACAGCGTCAGAGACAACATTCATGATGCTTAGAAAACTCTACGGGGAAGATCTGAGTAACACCATTTTTAATTTTCACTGCAATTTTTCATGGTATATGCTCTAAAAACTACAAGGTAGCACAATATTTCCATCAGTGAAGGCTGATAGTCATATAGACCTGAAATGAAATGAGAAAGAACCAACCTCTAACTGTTCCTGATGGAATCTTGAGGCTTCATGAAGCTATCTTGGTGAAGGAAGATATCCCATATCACTCCTTGTCGATGTGTCCCTAATCAAAGTACTGCAGGAAATGAATATATTACCAAAACCTCTAGGATATGTTGCATTTTTCTTGAGAAAAGAAAGGACATAAAAAGAATGACAAAAGTCAGGATTTGGGTGATGCTGGTGTTCCCATATCAGAAATCCACAATTCTCCAATTCTCTCAGTAGCAAATTAAATTTCCCTAAATATTGACTGCTGATTTTCTGCCAGTGGCAAGGCATGCATCTCGTATCAGAGTGCTGGTTCCAGTCCTTGCTACTCTCCTCTCTGTATAGCTTCCTGCTAATGTGCAGTGGAAGGCAGTGGAAGATGATCAAGAACTTGGAGCCCTTCTGCTGATGTGGGAGAAGAGGGTGGAATTCCTAGCTCCTGGCTTCAGACTGGCTTGGACCTGGCTGTTGCAGCCATTTGGGGAGTGAATCAGTGTACGGAAGATCTCTCTGTTGCTCTTGTTCTTTCTGTCTCTCCTTTTCTCTCTGCTCTGCTGTTCAAATAAATCTTTAAAAAAAAAAATTCCCTAAGTTGCACGAGAAGGTTCCAGGCCCTGGAATTTGCTGATGCTTTTATTTATTAAGAAGCTCCTGCACTCCATTAGGATTATGTTACATTATGTAAATCATGGAAAATCATTTACAATTATACAGAAAACCATGGTTAACAATAACCTTCCTTAAAGCATAACAGTGAAGATTTACTTATAATGGGTAAGAATTACTTAACAATTCAAATACTCAGAAAGGTTTTTGCATTCTGCAGAATGAAACTACTGTTTAATTGCTGTTTATAGTGCAATATCTCTGTTCACCCTGCAGTTCCCTTATATATTACCATAATTATCAACAGTCAAGGGATGAATATTCACAGCACACAGAGGTACTCAGAGATTCCTCAGAACTCCAGAGATTTTCTCTACTCTCCAGAACATCTACACTGAAGACTCAGATGAAAGCATATTGGATATCTTGTTATCTACTTTGCCTTGCCTATTGACTATGTGGCAATTTAACCTGGTTAAGATTTAAATAATATTTATTTTATGCTCTATATGACTCAAAGTTACAATATAAATTTTCTCTCAAAAATATGCATTTGCTTTTTTCCCTTGGATCTAAGTTCAAAGCTATGACCACACATAACAATAGTATAATAAGGCTATTTCTGAGATTAAGGTATATATATATAGTATATGGATATAGATATAGACACACACACATATATATATATACCTTATATCAATTGCTAATATATTATAAATCATAGATTATGTGTTTTAATGTAATCATTTATTTCATTTCTTTTGAATGCTTCATCTTTCCCTACTCTCTTCGTTTTTTGAACCTTCTGTAGAATTCTTTCTTTTCCTCTTTTTTTCCTTATTCTTCCCATCACTTCTACCCTATTCTTCTCTCTCATCTCACTCCTCTCCTCTCCTTCCCCCCCTTAGATCCTTGCTTTTGCCCTTCCTCTTTTCCTTTTTTACTTCCTTCCTCGTCCCATTTTTTTCTTTATTGATTAGCAAGTATATGGAGATGTCTGTATGCATTTTTTTGGTTGTTCTTTATTCAAATATATTGATCATATATATTATATTTGTTTCTTTAATCTGAGCATATGTGTGTTTGTGTATTCAAAGTTTTTCCTGATAAGAAAAATATGCAGTCACAATAAGTGACTACCTTAATTCTCTAAATTTTAGAAGTAGTGATTTTTTGAAGAAAAACTAACTGGATAGATATGAGCTGCTTATAGCAATTTGCCTTACTGATACTCAAAAATCTAGTTCCATGGGTTGCATCTGTTTGGGTATAAATTTATGAATTTATGAAGTATCTGAAATTTAATTTAAATGCAGTCTTGCTCTCAAAAGGATTTTGATTAGTTTTGCCATTTCCGTAAATACAACCACAGATTTACTTGAGAAGCAGGAAATAAATCTACATAAATTCAAAAAAGCAAAATCTTTTGAAATTCCATTGGTTTATATATATTTTTTTGTTTTTCACTTTTGTCAGCATTTTTTACTAGCACTGTACAAAAATACATGAGCATACACAGATGCTGAAACTGTGCATAAGTCCTTATTTTTAAGGAACAGATGGTTGAGTAAATGTGATTCTTTACTATATGTGTGTATATATATATATATATATCCAGCTGATCTGTAAATTCACATTACTCAGTAGCATAAATATTCCATTAGTATCTTTTTATCAAATTAAATTATCATGTTCATAGATTATCTCAAAAGCTGTTACCTCTGTGGAATGTTAAAGATATAGTGATGCTAATAATGATGCAAAAGTGAGAAAAAGAGAAACATATTTGTAGACTACTGAATGGAGTCATTGCTAAAATAATGAAAATACTTTTTCCCCATCATTTTCTCTTCCAGTTCCCCCCAACAAATTTTGTTAGCTCTCCCTCACACCATTCAAACTAGTTCATATCAAACTGAAAGGTCCAAAGAAGAATTTGGGACTAGAGCAGTTGAAATAGAAGTTGAATGGAGTATTATTCTATTTTCACTCTTCCATATTAATATATTAATATATAACTAATTATGTAGTATAGTCTTATATTTAGCGACTTCCTTATGTTTGGTTTACAATGTTGGAAGAATCATATCTGCTAGTAGAATACCACTTGCCACCAACTACCTAAGTTGAGATTAGAAAGGTTTTCTCCAAAGATACCAATATCTTTCCTTTACCACATAGCAATAAATGTTTTCCACCTCCATGCCATGTCCCTCAAGGATCTTCAGCATTTTTATGCTGCTCCTTCTCTGAAAAGAGACTTGCAGACATGTAACATGTCATATGAGCTGGATGACTGCAGATTTCCTTCTATATGTAGCCATTATTCAAATAATCACAATTTTATTCATCTTTGAATTATTATTCAGCCTACCATTTGTCTTAAAAACAGCTACAGAAATATGCACTGCTGAAATAACAAAAAAGGGTGTTCCTTTAAAAAGATTAAATTATATGATAATTATGTCACATGACAGGGAGTTAATAAAATGGAACTGAGTGACAGGAATACTTGCTAAAGTTAAAGTGAATTAAATATTAATGGTTTTCCAAGTCATCTTATTTATCTTCAATCCCCAATGTTAACTTAATGCTTATAACATAAATATATGCCATGTATCTTACTCAATGCTCCAGTACAATATAAAATTACTCAATAGTTACCTGTACAGGATAAATAGTCTATGAAAGCTTGATGAAATAAAATATGACTTCACTGTTTCTACATTATATAATCATCTGATTAATTACAAAAATCATAATTATATCATCCAATTTTATTTATATTTATTGATTTTATTACATGTTAGTCTTATTTTATCCTATCATTTTTGGGAGTTTTGTTGTTGACATTTGCATGTAATACTTTTTCTGTCCTTTAATTTTCTGTTTTATTTTGAGGTTGTTAGTTTTAAATATGTGATTATTTTATAAATTAAGTCTGAGAATCTTACTTATTATTGAAGTATCCAGTCCCTTTCTATTTATAAATAGTCACTAAGATATTTGCATTAAAATAAGCTATCTGTGTTCTAAATCAGACTCATTTGTTCCCTGTTTGGTTTTGTTTGTTTGTTTAATTTAATCCCATGTGTACTTTTGAATTAAAAAAAAAAAGCTTCCATTCCATTTTCTTCTTTTCTTAGTTATATTCTTTAATTGTTAGTGATTCCACTAGTTTTTACAATTTTTGTCTTTGACTCGTTACACTGAATACCAGTTATTATCTTTACCACTTCTTCAAATACTGTTATAATTACAGAACATTTCCGATTATATGATATTGATAGAGTCATCTTACTTCCTCATATATTTGAATCATACATGAAATTATAGTTATTGTTTTTTAGTTTCTATATTCATCCATAGGGTCACTTACCATGTTCAATGATCTTAATTCCTTGGTATATTTCCTAGTTTTCTTTCAGCATCATTTTTCTTTAGAAAAAAGAATCTAACATAGAGGTATCCACTGCAAAAAAAAAAAAAAATAGAAATTAGAACTTAGAAACAAATAAAAAATTCAAACTTAAACTTCCTTTAGCAAATCTCATAATTCATGCAGGAACTCTTTGTCCTCCCACTCCCACTTATGTATTTTATGATTTGTGAGCGCAAAGAAATTGCTATCAAGCAAACATAATACTCAACACAAGTGACCAAAAGCTCAAAAAACAAAAAGCAAAGTGATCAAAGAGATTACATTTGTCATTTCATGTTATGTCTAAATAGAGACTCACATTGAATCCTATCATCTCACAGAGTTGCAGTAAACACAGGCAGAAGATGCAGTTAATGCTTAAATACCCTACACCAGTGCTGGCTATTTGGAAGTCATCAACTTGATGCCACGTTAGCTTCTTATATTACATATTTCTTAATAAGGTGGAATAGTTAATTTATAAATCCATGAATTTATTATCCAACTTCAAACATCAAAGAATAATTATACTAATTCCCTAATAGCTATCAATATTTGAGTACTGTTATGTATTCTGTGTCTGAACCCAGGTCCACCAGAAAGCCTAATGGGATGTGCGAGTTTAGGATGGTGATGGTAGATATTAAAAGGAAATGAGGCAGAAAAAGATCTGAAGCAGCATTATCATTTATGTCACTGCTGGCATCTGCTTCACACGTGTCCAGAAAAAACTCAAGCAGTAGTTTTAGCAGGTATATTTACTCCACACAGAGAATTTTTCCTGAAGGACTCTATGCTTGGCTATCTCCTGTCTTCCCTTTCTTTTGGGGGAGAACTTTCAGTGCGCAACATTCAGAAGCTCTGTCATTTTTCAGACACCATATCCCACAACACATGGTGCAGTATTTTATCTCACTAGGAATGTGGACAGAAAGGAATAAGAAGTCAAGACAAGCTAAGAAGCACAAGATTTGTTTCTTAATTTTCTGAGGCAAATCATATCCATTAGGAATGTAAGTCTAACAACCAGACTGTTGAGGTTGACAACGCATTTTATCCCTTTTTATCCATGTATTCATACAAATGATTCTTCTCAAGGTTATACAATTTAAAGTACTATCAGCATAATTCTGTTCCATATGTCTGTCTTAGGGCCAACGCTCATTGTCTGTAGACTATAGGCAATCACAAGATCGACATTAAATTGTTAAATAAAGAGAAGTTTTCCTCAAACAACATAGTGCTTGCTATACAGGCAGTGTATCAATAAAGAGAATATTAACTGAGGGTGGGATTTTTGTATCCAACTTTCAAAAATTGGCTTTTTAACAAAATGTTCCAGCATTTTACTTAGTGCAGCAGTTAAAATAAACCAGTCCCCAAAAGACAAATACCATATGTTTTCTCTGAAATGTGGTAGCTAATATACAATACAAAAAAATGTATAGGAATGAAATGGACATCTTGTGATTTGATTGCTGTTTTTAGTCTTTGTTTATCCTCCTGTGGAAGTGTGTGTTATTTCTACTTTCGACTTTTTTTTCTTTTTTTTTCTTTTTTTCTTTCTTTTTTTTTTTTTTTTTTTTTTTTTTGACAGGCAGAGTGGACAATGAGAGAGAGAGACAGAGAGAAAGCTCTTCCTTTGCCGTTGATTCACCCTCCAATGGCCGCCGTGGCCGGTGCGCTGCGGCCGGCGCACTGCGCTGATCCAATGGCAGGAGCCAGGTGCCAGGTGCTTTTCCTGGTCTCCCATGGGGTGCAGGGCCCAAGCACTTGGGCCATCCTCCACTGCACTCCCTGGCCACAGCAGAGAGCTGGCCTGGAAGAGGGGCAACCAGGACAGAATCCGGTGCCCCGACCGGGACTAGCACACTATGGTTAGTGTTACAATAAACTTGTGATTAGAGTGGATTGAAATTAAGTTTTTGCAAAAATTTTTTAAAAAAGGAAAGGGAAGGGGATTGAGGGATGGAGGGAAGCTGGTTATCTTCCTGGAACTGTACTTCTAAAATACATGATATCTGTTCTCTTTATATTAATAAAAGAAAAAATTTTAAAAAATCACCACTTGGGACATTCACATTACATATTGGAGTATCTGGCTTATGTTCCACCACTTCCTATCCAAATTCCTGCTACTGTGTACCCAGGGAGACAGCTGATGATCTCTCAAGTAGTTGAGTTCCTGTCATTCATGTGGGAAACCCAGATATCCAAGAAATTTATACCTTTGTCTATTCTAAATATATACTCACTTACTCTATGACAAGCACTGTTCTAGGATGAGTAAAAAGACAAGAAAATTTCTTTCATGGAAATTACTTTCTGATAAGAGGATGTAGAAAACAAAGAAATGTGTCAAGACAAAGTTGTAATTTACAAAATAAAAAATATGCTAATTGAGGCAAAACATGGGTGCATCCATTCAGTTAAGTTTCCCAGAAAAGTCTCACTGGAGTGATATCAAATATGATACCTGGGATAGTCAAACAAGCCCTCTTTGCAGATGATATGTTTCTTTATTTAGGGGATCCAAAGAACTCTACTGAGATACTATTGAAACTCATAGAAGAGTTTGGCAAAGTAGCAGGATATAAAATCAATGCACAAAAATCAACAGCCTTTGTACACACAGGCAATGCCATGGCTGAAAAAGAACTTCTAACATCAATCCAATTCACAATAGCTACAAAAACAATCAAACCTTGGAATAACCTTAACCAAGGACCTTAAAGATCTCTATGATGAGAATTACAAAATCTTAAAGAAAGAAATAGAAGAGGATACCAAAAAATGGAAAAATCTTCCATGCTCATGGATTGGAAGAATAAATATCATCAAAATGTACATTTTCTCAAAAGCAATTTATAGATTGAATGTGATACCAATCAAGATACTAAAGACATTCTTCTCAGATCTGGAAAAAATGATGCTGAAATTCATATGGAGACACAGGAGACCTCGAATAGCTAAAGCAATCTTGTACAACAAAAGCAAAGCCAGAGACATCACAATACTAGATTTTAGGATTTACTACAGGGCAGTTATAATCAAAACAGCATGGTACTGGTACAGAAACAGATGGATAGATCAATGAAACAGAATAGAAACACCAGAAATCAATCCAAACATCTACTGCCAACAAATATTTGATTAAGGATCTAAAACCAATTCCTGGAGCAAGGACAGTCTATTTAATAAATGGTGCTGGGAAAACTGGATTTCCACATGCAGAAGCATGAAACAAGACACCTTCCTTTCACCTTACACAAAAACATACTCAACATGGATTAAAGATCTAAATCTATGACCCAACACCATCAAATTATTAGAGAACATTGGAGAAACCCTGAAGGATATAGGCACAGGCAAAGACCTCCTGGAAAAGACACTGGAGGCACAGGCAGTCAAAGCCAAAATTATCAATTGGGATTACATCAAATTGAGAAGTTTCTGAACTGCAAAAGAAACAGTCAGGAAAGTGAGGAGGCAACTGACAGAATGGGAAAAAAATATTTGCAAACTATGCTACAGATAAAGGATTAATAACCAGAATCAGCAAAGAGATCAAGAAACTCCACAACAACAAAACAACCCACTTAAGAGATGGACCAAGGATCTCAACAGACTTTTTTCAAAAGAGGAAATCCAAATGGCCAACAGGCACATGAAAAAATGTTCAGGATCACTAGCCATCAGGGAAATGAAAATCAAAACCACAATGAGGTTTCACTTCACCTCAGTTAGAATGGCACACATACAGAAATCTACCAACAACAGATGCTGGCAAGAATGTGGGGGAAAAGGGACATTAACCCACTGTTGATAGGAATGCAAACTGGTAAAGCCACTAGGGAAGTCAGTTTGGAGATTCCTCAGAAACCTGAATATAACCCTAGGATACAACCCAGACATCCCACTCCTTGGAATTTACCCAAAGCAAATTAAATTGGCAAATAAAAGAGCTATCTGCACCTTAATGTTTATTGCAGCTCAATTCACAATAGCTAAGACCTGTAATCAACCTAAATGCCCATCAATAGTAGACTGGATAAAGAAATTATGGGATATATAGAATATTGTACAGCAGTAAAAAAAAAAAAAAAAAAACAAAAAAAAAAAAAACAATGAAATTCGGTCATTTGCAACAAAATGGAGGCATCTGGAAAACATCATGCTGAATGAAATCAGTCAGTCCCAAAGGGACAAATATCATATGTTCTCCCTGATTGTTGACAACTAACCAAGCACCTAAAAGGAAACCTGTTGGAGTGAAATGGACACTATGAGAAACACTGACTTGATCAGCCCTTGTCCTGACTCAAGGAACAACTTAGTACTTTTTCCCTTTTTAGTATTTTTTTTGTTCTACTTAATAATGTTGGTTGAATTCTTTAATTAACACACAATTATTCTTAGGTGTTTAAATTTAACTGAAAAGTGATCCATGTTAAATATGAGTGGAAGGCCAGCACCGTGGCTCACTAGGCTAATCCTCCACCTTTGGCGCTGGCACACCAGGTTATAGTCCCTGTTGGGGCTTCCATGTACTATTAAAAGAAAATAATTAAGCTGACCATCATTAACAAACCCAATTAATGAGTCCTGCTTTCACAAAAACCAATTTCAATTAATACCTTGCAATTTATTAGTATTAATGCACAGATGTACATTTACTTCTATCTTCCTGCCACTCAAATATAATATGCAATTAAGACAAAAACACTATGATTTAATAAAAAATAACAATAGGAAATTATATGGGGAAATCTATAAAGTGTCCCAACAATGTAAAATATTTAAATTTAAGTAAATTGAGGATGTATGTTTATTGAGAAATTCTATTCAGCAGATAATATAAACAGGTCTGTGATACACTACATTTTCAATAATTCCAGTTAACATCTCTTTTTTGGCACCTTCAAGTCATAAAAATCTTTGCTCATATAAAACATGATATGCAGAATCATCTGGGCAGTGGCTCCAAAGAATATTTGGGGAGTAGGGAATTTCAGAAAGTATTTATGATTGCAATATTTCTCTTTTAGAACTTGATGTGAGTTTTGTTTTCTTTTCTCTAAATGTTATACATATTTGTGAAGAATGAGTTCACTATGAAAAAAGAGTGAGTCTCAGCTGAAGCACTGCTGTAAAAGTGGCTCCTTGGATTTCATTACTGAAATTTTCCTGTCTATACTTAGAAGAGAGAATTCCTGTTTTCACTGAAGGAACCAAACTTAAGTTGGAGGGCTTCCTCCTGGGAAAAAAAGAATAACAT